TTGTTGTTGTTTGGGGTGGATTGTGGAGGATAATTGAATTGGGGAATTTCGAATTGGAGAAGTGTTTCCCGCGAAGGAAGAAATTGGGTGTTTGGAGAGAGAGAGTAGAGAGAGAAACAAGCGAAGCGAGGCGACCCCCTGAGAAATTGCAGAGAATGGGGTCACCGCAGGAGGAGAAGAAGAGAGAAGAAGAAGGAGAAGGAGAGGATGGGAATTGGAAGAGAAGAGAGAGAGAGAGAAGAATTTGCTAAAATTTTCCACCAAAAACAGCATTTATTTTTTTATTTTTTTATTAAAAAAACAGTATTTATTAGAAATTACCATTTATTTCTTTTCCCACAATGTACACAACCAAAACCTACCCTCTTGGTAACGTTCAATTTCTCTTTTCTTTTGTTTCCAGGAAAAAATAATAATTGGGCTTTTTTTATTTTACTATTTAAAATTTTAAAGTAAAAGAAAATTAATCTTTTAAGCTAAATATTCAAAATTTTATGGTTATACTTTTAACACTAGTTTTCGATGAATGCGTTTTCTTATTTAATTTGGGTACAAAGTTTTCAAGGTCCAACTATAATGGCACGTTTATAAAAGTCAGACATTAATATAGAATAGTTTTCTACTTGGGACTTGCATTTGAATAACAAACATTGAAAACGAAGATTTTGTCAACATTTTGGTGAAGAATTTGTATTTAGAAATGAGTTTAAGATTGAAGTGGTACTAGAAAGAGCCATACCAAGAAAACTTCAAGGACGTGTAGGTTATGCAGTAGTATAGCTATGGATTCAATACTGTAATAAGAATGATATGATGGTTGTCGTTCAAAATCGTCTTTACGAGGCCTATCGACACTCTATAAGGTTAAGTTCAAGCCCTGCCATGTCAACAATGAGATGATACATGGATCATTCTATCATCTCATAAAAGATATTCAAATTAACATATTTAATATTATACTTTCTAATCGTGCAGTTAAGACTTATCCATAATACATTTAAAATATGTGTTGGCGCAAGTATGAATTTTTTTCAAAAGTTTCCAAAATTAGACGGGGGAGAGAGTTCCACCCTAAATTGGAGAGAGAGAGGACTGGACCTGTACACCACTGCTGTAAATATGGTTGAATATTAACTAGTTCATAAAGTTCATAAGTTTTTTAAAAGATTGTATTCTAAAAGTTGCAACTATCGTGTTTGGGATTTGGATGAATCATGCAAAATGTATGAAATCCAACCAATTATATCAGTTATATATATATATATATATATATATATATATATATATATATATATATATATATATATTTTAATACATGTAAGGATGTGGGATGAAACTCACAACTTCTTAGTTTGAAATATATATCAATTACCGATGAGCTAGGTTCGTTTCAGCAAGTATATCAGTTATAATTGATTAGTTAGTATAAAGTAAATCAATGTATATCAGTTATAAATCGTATTTGAATAACATATATTAGAGGTATATTAATAAGGTATATAAGTAATTGTGAATAAAGTAAACCAGTGGTATATCAAAACATAGTTTATCAATGATATATCGGCACACCCATATTTGGAGTATATCAGTGTCGGGTTGAGGCTAAAGTATACTTTTTTTTCCTAATTTTGCATGGGTTGGACCACAAAATTTTGCTACTTTTGCAAATTCTTGTTGTTAATTTTGCAAATTGTTTCCTTTTTTTTTTTTTGCAGGATTGCAGCTGCCCTGAAGTTAAATATTTTTTCTTTTAAATGGTTGCATGTGATATTTGTATGGACTCTTAGAAGAAAATGCATGTTTATCACATGACATTCAAGCAAAGTCTTTGTTGCTAAAAAGTACCCTTTGTGTTCTAGGGAGCTTTATAGTTTTATTTCAAACTATTTTAAAAAATAAAATTTACAATTTTGAGTCTAACAAACAAAAAGATTTTAAAAATTAATATGTTATTTTATATGGGTATGTTAATAACATTTTCTCTCCATTGAACTTGTATTTGGGCCAACACAAACTTAACTCAACCGACTAAGAAGTCAGAAGTTCAAAACAAAAAAACTTAGTGCATGAAATTTAACTTCACCTATTTTGTTGTTTTCAAGAAATAGTCATGGGATAAGTTTTTTCATGGATAATCAACCCTAGGTTGTTAGGGCAGCACACGCAGTCGTAACAATGTAAGAATAGAAAATATTTCGAGTATCTTCTCCTCAAAGATTTTATAAAGAATAATCAAAATACTGTTACAACAATGCTTAAAAGAAAGGCAGGTCAGAAGAAATATGGTTTGTTGTTGTAAAAATAAAGGCAAAATAATTGTAAATGGTTCAGGTAAACTGACATAAACTTGATCACATTTATAAGGATGCTTCTCTTCCTATGTAAGACAACCAACGAGAACAGCACACGTGTATTTGTTACTCTGAATGGAAATTACAGACTAGAAATCACATACAAGGAGAGGGAACTTTCTTTCTATTGTATAATCCCACATCTTTGGAAATGTATGTACAGTGCAGCTTCATGTGTTCAGCAGTCGTGTTTCACAGATCTATAGATATCACCACGGGTGCATCTCCCTTTTCGACGACAAATGTTTTTGACATCTTTTTTGACGCATCCACAGTCTGTATATTGTATGTTCCTTGAAAACCTCGGAATTTGAATTCACTTTTCTCGTCAATCTGCCCACTCGCATGCGAAAGCCATTCATGTTTCAGGGCGATGTATCGTTTGCCAGCTTCGTTGATCTCTCCTTCTGCATTCACTAAATGAGAATTGTCCCGGCTCATAAAGAGCTCCCAGAATCCCCATAACATTACCCCTTCTACTGCAGGATGAGCAAAAGCTTCTCGAAGCATAACTTCCAAGTCATCCGCTCTAATGTATTCGTTTATGGATGACACGTCAAGTTCTGTGAACCAGATTGGAAGGCCTAAAATGCCCATTTTATCTAAACCGGAACTAACAATTGGTCCCACTGGACTGTCAATATGCCCTTGGATCCCAACTCCTTCCACTGGAGCTCCTTGCTCTTGCAGTTCAAGAATTTGCTCTATGTACCTTTCTGGACAAGATTTGGCGTCGCATCCATCCTCGACGTGATAGTCATTCACGAATAGGAGAGCTGATGGATCGAGTTTGTTAGCGGTCTTGAACATGTTAGCTCGAATATCTTTTCCGAGATGATCTTGATAGAATGATCCATGCAACATCTCATTGTTGACATCGTAGTGCATGAACTTCCCCTTGTAGCGTGTCAATAGGTCCGTAACGCGATTTTGAACGGCAACCATCATATCATTATTGTTCAAAGATTGAATCCATTGTTGTACTGTACCTTGCACGTCCCAGAAGATGCAGTGACCACGAGTCTCTATGTTGTGGCTCTTGCACAAATCCAACAACTCATCAGCATCCTTATAGTTGAAGTTTCCTTGTTGTGGCTCTGTCCAATACCACTTGAGCTCGTTTCCAAACACAGCCCAATTGAAATTCTTCACCAAGAAGTTCACAAAATCTTCATTGTCAATGTTTGTTCTACTGATGCAAGTCCCAAAAGGAAAACTGTTCTTCATTTGTCTAACTTTTATAAATGTGCCACTAGAGCTGGATCCTGAAAATTTGAGGGTGATATCGCGCCTGCGAATCTACAGTTCTCCAATTAAAAAAGGAAAACACAATCAGCCATCGATTGCTTGATGCTATTTCAACATAATAAGTGTTGCATAACCAGAAAAATTAATGAAACATGAAGAACCAAGGAATGTTGAAAACTATTGTTACACTTTAATATAATATAATATCACCGAAAGAATACAATAATTCATGTAAAAAAGGTTATAAATGCCAGATTTCATTCTCAAGGTACAATACAACTAAGAATTTGTAATTGCTTCCTCTATATGATTGACTATGTATAATGGTATCACAGATTCACATCTAAAATTTACCTTATCTGTCTGTGTCTTCAAATATCTTAACCTTGCATGGCGATCGACAGGAAAAATTTGAAGTCCAGCAACCATTAAGTCAACGTTTGGAGCAGGACCTTGTATATAAACCATAATCTTTGCTGATTGTTTCTCAATCCTAAAGGAACTCCCAATTTCATGCCATCGATCATCACTAATCTTGACTTGCCCGCCATTGACCCATTGGCTATCAACTCCGAGTGCAACATTGACATTTTGTGCACCAGTTGCCCCAGAGCCAACCTTTACCCAAGCAGACACTTGGTATGTTAGAAAGAGTTTCACCTTATCAGTGATCATCTGAGCAGGACCCATCCAAGTCTGTGTGCGATTCGTCACAAGGATGTACCGGCCGCTTAGAGGTTCAGAAGGGCCAAGGGAATCTCTAGCCATAGGAGGAACGACACGCGGCGACCCTGTTCCAACATTTAACGTACAATTTCCAAGGGGAAACCATCCATTGGTGCCATTACTCAGATTGCTATTCTCAATTATGTTGACTCCATAGGCTGGATTCTGCACGACATAAATAAAGAACAATAAGTGAATAAGAGAATTCATGTAATGATATAGGTCTTCAAAACTCCTAAACTGATTTGCAATTTCTAGTTCAACCAACCTCAACAACTGGTGGAGGTGAAGGAGGAACCTTTTGTGAATGCTTTACAACAAGACTGTTGATGAGAATATCAACTCCAGAAGGTGGACCTTCAATATAGATGACAACCTTTGATGGGGAAGCATTTAAAAGAAACTTCCCCTGTAATTTTACCCAATCCTTATCTGTTGCCTGCACACTTCACCAAACCAATCGCTTCTAAGTTTCTTCATAAATCATAGAAGTTTCTTTCTATCAAGGTGGAAACAAAATAAAAGGAGAAACTAACTTGGCAATTCCAATATATTGTTCACGGAGATTTGGTGTTTGCGCCCATAAAGTAGCCCGTACATCAGTAGTGGTGATATTGTTGCCATATACTCGAACAACAGCAGCAACATCATAAGCAAGCTTTCTCTGCACTCTTCCTGTGATCTCCTGCTGAATCCCGTTCCAGCTCTGTGCGCGCTCGGTTGCGGAGGCAAAAAACTTCCCAGACTGTGGGAGAACTTTTCCATTTCCCATTGAATCGTGCAGAGCAATCTTGCATCCTCTTCCAGACCAGTTTTTTACGTCATCCTCAAAACTTGGGTTTAGAATTATATTCTCATCGTCAGCATTGGCACTTCTGGCCTTCTCAGATAAACAGTGATAAAGAGAGTTAAAATCAACCTAAGACTCAAATTTTAGCTAAAAGAAAACCAGGTAACTTTTCGAATGACAACAATCCATATAAGTACAGACATTTAAGAAAGGGCAGACAAAGGGCTTTCTAAATATAATTTTCTCTTAGGACGAGGTTAGCAAAAAGAAGTATAAGTACCTCCAATTGATTTGGAACAGCACAGGTAATCTCCACTGACTGTATGAGTAAATCAATGCCCGGAGAAGGTCCTTCCAGATAGAATACGACACGGTCTGGCATGGGCGACAAGGAGAATGTACCTTCCAACGTCTCCCACTTATCTTTCAACACAGAAGTTCTGCATGCACTTTTATCTATTAGTTTTCCAAATCCAGTTATTTTATTCTCAAAGAAAAATAATGGGACAACAAAGTTAGTTACCTCCCAATGAACAAAAAGCTCGTAGCATAATCTTTGTATTCTAGCTTTAAGGTTGCTAGGACATCAGCAGATCCTTGAAGAGGTCCTGATACTCCAACACTTGCAGAAACTGAATAAGTAATACCTGGAGAAATTTTATTGGTGATTTCCTGCTCCAATCCCTGCCAGCATTCATTTCGATTAGTAACAACAGCATACTTAGCACATGAATTGACGGATGCCTCTTCTCGGTAATTTGACTCGGCCGGAGCTACGTGGCCATCACAGCTATTAGGGTGCCAAAATTGCAGTCCCATTGAGAAGTCATGGTTCAGTAAGATATTAGTAGCCTGTCATAAAAGTATGTGAATTATACAGGGGATCAAGAAATCGTCAAAATAAATAAACTATAATAGAAATCAGAGTTCAGATTTCATAAACCCCTTTTATCATAAAGAACAATCGTAAAAATGATGACTACAAATCCGTACCCCTAAAACATCACTGTCATTGTTCTTCTGCATGGTCTCCATGGTCACGACAGGGCTCTAGCCGAATCAAATGCAAATGTATAACCAATTTTATCAGATAAGAAGGAGTCAGTAATTAGTTAAAGAAAAATATAATTTCTTGAAGATGGAAGGCGGGGTGGAACCTGAGAAAGCTTGTCACTGTGGGGATTCTGATGATTGATGTTGTCGGGTGATCGGCTTGTGAAGCAGCAGACACATGCCCCCCTCATTTATAGGAAATGTAACCAGAATTATGAGTAGATTCTAAGGAAAGTATCTTCTCATTAACGATAAAGAAATTAACAATATGCTGCAATTAGCTTCCGTAAAGACAGTTCAAAAGGGTTGTTAAATTTTGCTTTGTGTTGCATATTCGACCAATGCTATTCTGTTGTGTTGTAAACATCCCCGCCTGCCCCGCCACTAAAAAACGCCATTATCACTTCCGCCGATGAACAAGAACGACAACAAAAAGACAATTCGCTCTCCGTTTGGGGATTTTCTTCCTATTTGACATGATAGTGAAACAATTGCACATCCTCAAAATTCCCCACATCCATGTATCTGTTCATATTCCAAGATCCATAATCAAGTGCTACTCTTTTCAATCGGCATTTCAAAGTAAAGACCCAAAAAATAAGAAGAGAAAAAGAAACAAAACTTACCCGGTTTCGAGTACGAAAGGAAGAGGACCAGGTAATCCCAGCAGAAACTTCACCGCCGAGTAAGAAACTCTGCCGGCGGCCGTCGCCATCTGCTGGGTTCGCCGCTGATCGTCGCCGTCGCCGTCCACTACGGAGGGAGAGGGAGAAATCGCTGGCTTCCCTCTACGGTGAGAGAGAGAGCTGTTAAAATAAATAAATAAATCCATTTGGCTCCAATTTCCTTTATGATGCTTTTAATCTTCGGTCCTGGTAGTTTAAATATATAAAATAAAGGGTAGAGAAAAATAGCTTAAAATGTATTTTAACATAAACTGTATTTTAATTAATATTATACCATTTCAACCAACAAGGGCGGCTCTGGTAGTTTCTGGAAAAATGTCATTTTTGTATCCTCAATTTTTCTTTTTAGAAGTGGTCGTTTTCTAAAACATTATTTATTCTAGCCCTTTTGACAGAAATGCCCTTTTGTATCCTCAAAGTCCATTCTCACCTTTATTTGGGTAAGGTTTATTAAAAAAAAAAAAAGATTATTGGAACTAAAACTTCACAACCCCTATACTTTTTTCTCCTTTATATTAAAATTTAACAAAGAGAGAAAATTGAAAGAGAAAGCTTTGATTTTATCACAAAAATTAAATCCAAATCTTTTTGAGAGATGTTGACTATAATTCAAAAGAAACCAATACACACACACACATATATGTTGACTACAAATTACAAATAGAATTTATCAAATTTTCAGTAAATTTCAACCAACTTGCAATTTTTTTAAATGATAAATATCATATTTAAATTATAAATATTTATCCAACAAAACCTGTAAAAAAATATCACTTAAATGTAAATGTAGTTTAAGAAAAACCCATCACATTCCAATCCCTTTCTTTTATTTTTCTCTCTTTTTTTTAATACAATCTTAATATTTTTATTTAAACTGAGTTTTGAATAACAATATTATCTTTCTCTTAAAAAAAAATGATTGTTTCATTTATCTAGACTAGAGGCAGTAAAAAAATTCGATAATCTAAAAAAAATGATCAACTAAATCTAACCTATACGATTTTGGTTTGGTTCAAGTAAATGAAAACTCTATTACTCTATGGATTAGATCCAAAGATTTACCTAAAATATGTTTTGGTTGAACTGAACCGACCGAACCTATTTTTAATTGTAAGACTAATTCTTTTATTCATTATAAAAATTATATATAATTTTATTTCATTCAATAATAATTTATGGATTTTTTTATTGTACAACCATCTTTAAAAACAACTTTTTAAGAATTTTTTTGGGTGTACATTTACAAATAAAAATCAACTTGCGTGATTTAATATTAAACAACGTATAAATAAATGTTTAAGATATTATCATTTTTTGTCAAAAAAAAAAAAGATATTATCATTTAATTCTTTTTTTTTGGGTTATAAAATCTAGCTAAATAAAATATTTTATGGTTGGGTTGGGTTGAGTTTATTATTTAAATATTGTTTGGGTTGAATAAATTTACGATTCATAGGAAAAGTAACAAAATATGTCTATTAGTCTGAAAAAAACATAAAAGTATATTTATTTTTAACTTATTCATATTAAAACATCTTATATATGTATATAATTTTATTTGTAACTTAATCATTTTAAAATAATTGAGACAGTGTATTTTGTTTTTTAGTTTATTCCAATCAAAATATTATGTAATATACATGTGAAACTTTGTTCTAATTTATTGTGAACGGTTTGATTGAATTGAAATTTTAGAATGCATGATAGTCGATGAATAAAAGAAAATAAATAAAATAAACAAATTGAGAAAATAGAATGCATGAATTGTAGGATCGAATGATAACACGGGGATGAATATGGTTGCTTACCACTTTTTCAAAATTAAAAATAAATTCAAAGTAATAAACAAGAAAAAGAAATATTGAACAAAAAATTTAAGTAAACCTATACATGCAATATAGCAAAATTAAAAGTAGATAAATACTGAATTTAAAAGAGAGAAGAGAAGAGAGTGGTGATACCGAGACTTTTTATGGTGGTTTGGAATTTTCTACTCCACTGCAATGGCCCTCTTCGGTGTACACACACCTTAATACAAAACCCAATTTGAAAATAAATAAGGTAAGAACATAAGTGGATTACACAAAATTTAGTAATTGATAAAAAGCCAGAATCTCTACAAAAAAAAAAAAGAAGAGGTTATGTGTAGGATTTTGCAAAAGTTGAGAGGAGAATTTGAAGATAAAAAATTTTGCTTGGTGTATAGAATGGTAAAATTTGGTGGCTTTAAATAGAGTTTTGATGATGAATTTTGGCCATTGGATTTAGGGCAACAAATGATGAATAATGTAGATTGAGAGGTGAGGTAAGGAAATGAAATAAAAACATAATCATGGTGATTAAAAGAAATCAGTGGAGATTGATAAATTATTGAGATTTGGAATGATTGAGGAGATTGAGAGTGATTGAGGAGATCGAGAGCAATTGAGGAAATGGATTTGTAGAGATTGAAAGCGTCACATCTTCTCATTTGTTCGATTGTTGGATACCACGTCAGTATAACTATATCCTCTCGATGCCACCTGTCAACTTCTGAGTGGTTCACTTATCCATGTCACCCACCACAGATTTTTCCACTTGTCCACATCAGTTGCCACGTAGGATATTTCTCCTGATTTGTTTTGACCCTAACTTATTTGTTTAAACTCCGATTTGAGTGATTTGATAGACATTAGTTTTGTCTTTTTGAACTCTACGCTATGGACACTTTGAAACATTCAAATTGTTAGTTTATACTTGATATGTGATCGTCAAAATATTTGATTTGATTGAAGCTATAAAACTAACATAAATTACGAAATAGCTAATTAACAATAAAAAATAAATGAAAAAAAAACTCAAATCTAGGTTACACATTCTTGCACTCCAAACACGGGCCACCCAATTTCATCCCCACATTCTTACATTCGAGTCATCACGATACTTCCAAATCTACTTCGAAGCTTAACAAAAGCTACAAATGCCAAACTTACCCCCCAAACGCTCCTAAATGGTTGCATGTGATATTTGTGTTGACATTCAAGCAGAGTCCTTGTTGCTAAAAAGTACCTACGGAGCTTTACATGTTTATTTTAAACGAGTTTAGAAAATAAAGTTGAATGAATTCACAATTTTGAGTCAACAATTAAAAGATTTTCAAAATTCATATTTTATTTTATTTAGGTATGTTAATAACATTTTCTTTGTAACTGCCAAACGATAAGAATTTGAATTTGAATTCAAACATTGTGTAATAGATTGAAAAGTAAACTAGTATGTAGATAAATAATTTTTCGCTGATAAAAATTGGTTATATCCTGACCTCGATATATCAGTGATATACCTAATGAATTATATTGCTGATATATTATATTTAGTATGCTTTATATACTTCAAGATATCAATGATATACTCTCTATCTAGTCTGTCAATTATATATAATTGATTTATCTAATAAAATTTATGAACTCCAAAAATTGTCAAATAAGCTTCCTAAACTTTTAATTTTATGTGTAAAGGGTTCGTGAACTTTAAAAGTGTAGTTCTTGAACTTAATTTTGTTGCTTAATAAATTTTTGATATATATGATATTTTAAAAAATCAACGAAGGTAAAAAATTGGAAGTTTAGAGACATTATACATTTGTTTAGTTTATGAATCTATTAAACACAAACTAGAAAGTTCAAGAATTTTTTTTTCTTTGCATTTTTTAAAATTCAATGTCTTATTAGAAACAAAACTTGGAGTTTAATAGAATTTAAAATAAAAAATAAAATTAAAGCTTAAATGTAAATATCGTAGATATTATCAAAGTTGAAACTCTTAAGGTTAAATTACAAGTTTAATGAGATGGTATCTATATCCAATTTATTTTTATAATATAAAAAATGTCGATCAGGTCTCCCAATTTTGTAATAGTGTGCTTAATATATTCTAAACCTTAAAAGTGTATAATAAGCCACAAATTTTTAATTATTTATGAGGTCCCTAAATCTTAAGAAAGTGTTAGACAAGTCAAAAGTCTAGTAACCACGTACCTGAAAGTTCAATGATCGCCAACATGAAATTGAGGGTTCAAATACTCAGCCCGCATCTGTTGTATTTAAAAAAAAATTAAAAACTCCATGATCGGTAGTCCCATGTTGCGATTGAGAGAGCATACATGTGTTTAGTCCATCTATAAAAATTATACTCGAATCAAAATGTTGGAGGTTAGAATTGTCGAATTTTTATTATATATTTTTTTTTGAGCCAAATGAACGAAAAATCGAAAGCCCAATGAGATTTAGCCCAACATTTGTACTTAAAAGTTAGGGTTATTTCATTGAAGCCCCCACAAATTTTGGTTCTAGAACCATCCTGAATTCGCCAGATCGTAGAACTCTCTAGACTCTCTTATCGCTATACGCTACTATAAAATCCAATCCCCACCGGAGCAGAACTGAGTATCGATCGGAATTGACATTTCTCATCGTTCGAATTCTGTTTCGTTCGTATTCTTGCTCGAATCTCTGACCCCTCTTCCCTCTTCCACTCGTTGGATTCACCGCCGATTCCTCCCGCCATGGATGACGATTTTGAGCTCCCATCTGCAAGCAATGTGGACGACGAAATGGGCATTCCGGGGGACGAAGCGGAGAGCGCGGTCCTGAAGGTTGGCGAAGAGAAGGAGATTGGAAAGAACGGGCTGAAGAAGAAACTTGTCAAAGAAGGTGAAGGATGGGAGACTCCCGACACTGGGGATGAAGTCGAAGGTAAACTCTCGATCGGTTGATCTAGTTGAGGCCAGCGCTTGAACTTATGGGGATTGTTGTGTCTAATGTAACGAATTCGGGCCCTGGTCTCTGTTTTTTGCAGTGCATTATACGGGAACCCTTCTTGATGGGACTCAGTTCGATTCTAGCCGTGACCGAGGAACGCCTTTCAAGTTCAAGCTCGGCGAAGGTAATTTCTAAGCTAGGATTACTGTAAAAGCACCATTTTTTACTCGAACATATGAAGAAATCTGATAACCGTAACTGCATCAAAATTTCTTTTTACTTTACATTTCTGGATTAGATTATCAGTAGGGGACTGTGCTTAGTTTAACTCGGAAACAGAGATTGACCCAAATTATAGGATGATCGTTGGTAATTTACGTGGACCAGAGGAATATTTCCTGGAATTAAACTTATCTCTTGTAATCCATGGTTATTTCTTACTGTTCTTGAATTTGGTCTTTAATGAAGTGGCCACTTAGCTCACGTCAGTTGTTTATTTCACCAGGGCAAGTGATTAAGGGATGGGATGAAGGTATCAAAACCATGAAAAAGGGTGAAAATGCAGTTTTTACGATACCCCCTGAATTGGCCTATGGAGAGTCCGGCTCTCCTCCAACCATTCCACCAAACGCGACACTTCAATTTGATGTTGAGCTACTTTCATGGCACAGCGTCAAAGATATCTGTCAAGATGGAGGAATCTTAAAAAAGATCCTTGTTAAAGGAGACGGCTGGGACAAACCGAAGGATATAGACGAAGTTTTGGGTGTGTAATCCATTTCAACTTTTTTTCCCCCTATATGTAATGGTTTAACTTCTAAAAAATATCAATCTAACCGTATGATCTATGATCTTTCCAGTTATCTATGAGGCTCGTCTTGAAGATGGTACATTGATCTCAAAGTCTGATGGGGTCGAATTTAATGTCGAAAAGGGTAGGTTTTCATTGCCCCCGAAACCTTGTTGTCTTAAATTTGAAGGGTGCCTCTGAAGTGTCTTACTCTGGTTGTAGGATACTTGTGTCCTGCCTTGGCAACATCTGTGAAGACAATGAAGAAGGGAGAGAAAGTACTGTTGACTGTGAGGCCACGATGTGAGCAAAATCTACGCACTCTACTTTTTAGTTCTTATGCCTTGAACTGAACTTTAGTGGATATGCTAATTGTTACTTACTGTCATCCCTTGGCAGATGCATTTGGAGAGTCTGGCAGGCCTGCAGCTGGAGAGGAAGGTGCTGTGCCTCCTAACGCCACTCTTAAGATAACCCTTGAGTTGGTTTCTTGGAAGGCTGTCATTGACATTACTAAGGATAAGAAGGTCCTGAAGAAGACCCTGAAGGAGGGAGAAGGATATGAGCAGCCAAATGATGGAGCAGTGGTTCAAGGTGACATAATCATTCTCTGTTGTTTGATAAATGTTAAATGATTTGGATTGTAATGCAAGTATCTAACTATATTGCGTCTTGTTCTTCATGCCAGTTAAACTCACTGGTAAACTGGCCGATGGGACAATTTTTACTAAGAAGGGTGATGATGAGAAGCCTTTTGAGTTCAAAGTCGACGAAGGTAAATTGGTCTCGGTGATGCTCTTATAATACTGAAGGATCCAGGTTGTACTGTGTCTGTTAACTGATTCGTAATTTGGAATGTGGAACAGAACAAGTCATTGAAGGTCTCGATTTAGCTTTGAAAAAGATGAAGAAAGGTGAAGTCGCCTTGGTGACCATCCATCCACAATATGCTTTTGGGTCTTCCGACTCATCTCAAGATCTAGCCGTGGTTCCTGCAAACTCAACTGTATATTACGAAGTTGAGCTGGTTTCATTCGTCAAAGTATGTCTGCAATATTCATCTGTCTCAATATTTCCATAAGAAAACATTCCATCGAACCAATACTAAGGCTTCTTGTTATTGCAGGAAAAGGAGTCTTGGGACCTCAACACACCAGAGAAAATTGAAGCAGCAGGGAAAAAGAAGGAAGAAGGAAATGCTTTGTTCAAAGCTGGAAAATATGACAGAGCGTCAAGGAGATATGAAAAGGTATTACAAGGAGAAGCAAACGCTTTGGTGTTGTTATAGACTCCGATGACCGAAAATTATGGCTAACTTTGTTCATCTTCCAACTTTGTGATAGGCTGTTGGCTACATTGAATATGATACTTCTTTCAGCGATGAGGAGAAGCTACAGAGCAAGGCACTAAAAGTTTCATGCAACCTCAACAATGCTGCGTGCAAATTGAAAGTTAAAGACTACAAGCAAGCAGAGAAGCTCTGTACTAAGGTCTGCCCCGCGGTACTTTTAATCTTAAAATTAGACAAGAAAAGAGGACCCATTTTCTTTCTTAGCCAGTTATCCTAACATAAACTCTAATATCTGGATGAACAGGTGTTGGAACTCGACAGTAGGAATGTGAAAGCTCTCTACAGAAGGGCTCAAGCATACATTCAACTTGTCGATCTAGATCTTGCCGAGCAGGATATCAAGAAAGCCCTCGAGATTGATCCAGATAACAGGTAACAAACGAACCTCGACAAGCTTATAAGCCTTTAAATTCAATGGTAGCTGCTGATAGACATGCTGGATTGCCTTGTAAATTCTCAGGGAAGTGAAAATGGAATACAGACAGCTGAAGGCGAAGGTGAAAGAGTACAACAAGAAAGATGCACAGTTTTACGGCAACATTTTTGCAAAAATGAACAAGTTGGAGCAGGCCAAGTCTGCTGTAAGTTGACCAAAGAGCTGATGTTTTCTATATTAAACTAGTTGCTAAACAAAATCTCCCTCCCCAAAAGATTGCCAGAGAGAGAACTTTAAAATCTTCAATTCTGACACTCCCCTCCCCTTTGTGATGGTTGCTGGATTGCAGAACTCATCTGGAAATCAGGAGGCAGTGCCAATGACTATTGATGGCAAAGCTTGATGATGGCCAATACCAATAGTTTGAAACTTAGCATAATGAAATGTTGTGTGTCATCTTTGGAGATTTAGTTTGGATCGGCTGTGTTCTTCTATGCTTGGTTTTTGTTTTCGTTGAACTTCAAGTTCCTGGATTCCTTATGCCACTTTCTAGCTGAAACTAAATGAGGTGCTAGTTGTTGTGGATTGAGTAAAATCCTATTTCAAGTTTTATACCTCGTATTATCACATGCTTTAGGTTTGAATCTCCAGTTCCACACGGGTAAATCTTACGTCTCAAAGAAAAATAATATATTTGTCATAGTGTTTATTTGGTTGGGACTATGATGAATAAATGATGGAAGCTAGATCAAAACTATGCCCAGAAAACTGCTTATCAGCCATTTTCCAAGTGGATTTTGCATGTTTTTACATTGTGCTATAGTTTGTTTGTAGTTCTGGGAAAAAAATTATAAAAAAATTGCATAAAATTATTTAAATTAACGAACAAATCTTTCAGCAGTAGCGGAAAAAAAGAAAACAAACAAGTAGATGAGATCTTCAATAATTTTAAATTTCTAGTGTTATTTTGTACCTTGATGAGTTTGTTCACAAAATTAAATTAAAAGCATATTATAACGGTTAAGCGAAGAAATAAGTTCGACGGCTTTGGCTCCTAAAGACTAACCTTTGATTTTGTAAGCTTTGGATCAGTGATTTAGAGAGATACCCTCGACCAACCTTTTAAAAGTTGAATTGACTAATCGCTTTGAATGAGCTGTTTTTCTGATATTGAAACTTTTTAGATTAAGAGAACTTGAAATTTTGAAAGTTAGAACTAAATAGATATACATCATATGCTATTAAGGTAGGGATGTATGTTATTTAGTACATTGTTCTCTCGAATGTACTTTGATACTTAATTATAATTCAAGTTTGGAGGGCTTAACCTTGCATAAGACCGCCCTCTTCCTCGTGAGAAAGAGTAAAAAGAGTATATGAATGTGAGGGTAGAGACAGGCGACATGTCGTAGATTTTGAGGCGATGTTCTAAATATATCACGTTTTGGGTGGCTATATAATTTTAAAAACCTAATTTTAATATGACATTTGGATCAAACTTCACATGTCATTTTTACCATTATCATATTTAATGTTAGGACATTTTATTTTACGAACTACATATTTTAATGCGATGTTCGAATCAAACTTGACAGGTCATTTCTACCAGTATCATATTTAATAGTAGGACATTATATTTTGCGAACTACATTGGTCGATTATATTAAGGTCTAAAATTGAAGTTTTAAATATCGATGTTGATGGAACTTTATGAAAAAATTAAAAAAACAATTCACAACAAATATTTTTAAATAAATAAAAATTGTTAATATTAATATTAATTCACATTAGTGATACTTTTATTGACTTTTTTTTATAATATTATAAAAATGTCCATTCACCTTTCATATTAATGTCGAATCCATAAATATTCAAAAGTATTGACACGTCAATGTATAAATATTTGGGAAAGATACAATTTAGAGAGTTTTTTTTCAGAACTTATATTAAATACGATTTCTGAAGTTTAACTAAACTTTCAATTAAAATTTTAGAAAATTGTGGTGATTGAAATAGAACTCGACCTACGATGACCAAATTGAAATTAAACATGAACAAATGAACTAAATTGATAATTTAACAAAATATTTAAATGGATAGTTCCAAGAAAGACAAATGAAGTGGGCCAAATGGATTCATAATGAGTCGGGTCGACCCGAATCCAAGAAAAGGATCCAGATCCAAACCCGCAAAATTCAAAAAAAATGTTTCAGAACGGGCTTATAATAAAAAGACCACATTTCTGTGCTTTTCCCACATTTCAAATTCCCTCCCTCTCTCCCTCTCTCCCTCTCTCCCTCTCTCCCTCTCTTCTAACGGCTAACTTTCTCTCTCTCCCTTCTCTCTCGCTCCCTTGTCTCTTCTCTCTTCTTCCAATCTCTGAAAACCGCTCTCTCTCTGCGGAATTCCGTTTTGATTTTGCTGCCATCTTCGTTTCTTGCCATGAAGCACTTTATGCAGCCAAGAAACGCTATCTTGAGGGAAGCGCATGCGGCCGCCGGCGACCACCCGCCGTCTTCGCCGAGCCCTAGTGCCGGAATCAAGGGCAGACCCCCTCGGAAGCCCAAGTCGTGTAAGGAGAATGCTCCGCCTTCAGATCCGAACTCGATGGCTTCAGATTCCAAACCCTCGCCCGCGGCTGCCGCCAAGTTGAAGAGCCCGCTCCCCCCGAGGCCTCCCTCTTCCAATCCACTCAAGCGTAAGCTCAGCATGGAAGCGGTTCCTGAGAATTCAATCCCGGGGCTTTTTGATTCGGGTGTCAAGGTACATTTCGTGGCGCTGTCCTGCGTGTTTGAGTTCATTTCTGTCGAAATTTGGTGGTTTGTCTACTTGGTTGTGTTAGCGAGAGATTTGGTTGGAGAAAAGACAATCTGAATTTCAGTGAAGTTGTGTTAGTAGATTGACTACACTACTATACTTCTAGTCATTTTAGCTGAGCAGGTAGACCATTATTCTATGCGGTTAACTAAGCAAGATAATGGAAAGACTCTGTTGTTTTGGGTTTTGGAGAAAATTGAAATGAAGGTGCCAGACATGCATAATCTTACTTAAAACCTGAGTGTTGAACTTTGGTTACTAACACTTTGGCAGTAGAACTTTTGCAAAGCATAATTTATATTTGCAATTTTCAGGTGGTAGTGCGCATGAGGCCACCGTGCAAGGACAGGGATGAAGGAGATAATATAGTACAGAAAGTTACTGGTGATTCTTTGTCAATTAATGGACAGACGTTTACTTTTGATGCTGTTGCTGACACAGAGGCAACGCAGGCATGATCTTTAGCAAACTCTGTTGTAGCTCTTTGATGGATGATATGGGGTGAATGATTAACTTTGATTTATTCTGTTTGCAGCTTGATATTTTCCAGCTTGTAGGAGAGCCTCTTGTTGAAAATTGTATGGCAGGTTTCAACAGTTCTGTGTTTGCTTATGGGCAAGTATGTCTCCATATCCACGCCCACCCTTCTGTTTCCTGCATGTTTATGATGTTTATGTTACATCCTAAATGGCCTATGTACTAATTGAACCAGACCGGAAGTGGAAAGACATATACCATGTGGGGTCCGGCTAATGCTTTGTCAGATGACAATGTATTAAGTGAACAAAAAGGCTTAACTCCACGTGTTTTTGAACGACTCTTTGCTCGTATAAATGAGGTGGGTTTAAAAGTTTTAGTTCTTAGACTCTTGAAGGTAATTGTTCATAATCTCACATAAATTTATTTGAATTAAATTGCAGGAACAAGTGAAACATGCTGACAAGTTACTCAAGTATCAGTGTTACTGTTCTTTTCTGGAGGTTGGTCAACAGATATCATCTACAATATGATCTACAAATTTAATCATTTATTCTCTCTAATTCACTGGAAAATCTTTATTGTAGATTTACAATGAGCAAATAACTGATTTATTGGATCCAAATCAGAGAAATCTCCAGGTTATTAATATTGCTTTTTGATTTCTCTCTCTCTCTCTCTCTCTCTAAATTAATAACTTGTAAAAATTGTTCTACTTCCTGTAATATGATATGATAAGCTTATTCTGTCTTCTGTTGAATTCATCTCACAGATTAGAGAAGATGTAAAATCTGGTGTTTATGTTGAAAACCTGACAGAGGAGTGTGTATCCACAATGGCAGACGTTACTCAGCTATTGATGAAGGTTTATTATTTTCCTCTTCCTGCTAAATATGTGCACCTAAGTGCACCACTTCTGCTGCATCCTGAACCAAGCATTGTATATATTATCTTTTCGTCGTGGTTAATGATAACTTTTTCTGTATCAATTTTAAGAAAGTGCAATTATTACAATTGAAACTCTTTGATTTTACCATGATATATTCCACCCAAAAGCTCTTTATGTGATTGTATTAGGCTTTACACAACCCGGGCTTAGCAACTAACAAGATATAATGCTAATTATTCTTCTTGACTGTAGATCACTGTAACTTGACCTCCTTATACCTTGGATTTGGAATTGGTTTGCTTTTTTCCTCTTTCTATGTGGCATCCACATTGTAACTAAAATTGAATGTACATGACAGCTAAAGTAGAGGGAGCATGTGTACAGAGATCTATGATATAAGTATTCTATTTCTATTTTAAAGTTTAGGGGTCCAGTAGTTGCAATTGTCCAAAATGTCTGGATATAATTTGTATTCTACCCTTGAATATTGGAATTTTGTAGATTGGTGGAATTGAATTGAGTATGCTGCCAGCTGCAGTGGAAGATCATATATTCAAAATTAAGCATCAAGTTTTTGACCTTGTTAATTGACAGTAGTTCCTATTCCCGAAGCATGAAAAAGTGAAACCTTAATAAAGATCAAATAGTCTGACTTTTTATTCTTTGATTTTGGAGAGACAGAAAACTAGCACTCTTGGGGTAACTGTTATGCAATAAATGACATTTAGTTTTTGGTTCAATACCTTGGTGAATTGTTGTAGAGATCCTGTGTGCTGTACTTTTAGAGATACTGTGTCATATACTTCCTAAAGCATAAAAAACTGAGGTTTGATATAGATCAAAGAGTTTGACTTTGTATTCTAGATTTTGGAGAGACAGTGAACTAGCACTGTTCGATTATCCCAATGCAACCTGAAGCATCTCAAGGATCAATAACCTAGCCATATGTTAATGAACTGAGGAAAAGAATACACTAGGAATTCAGTTCTGCTTCTATTAAATAGCAATAAAACAAATCTGGACATTTAAAAGACTTGTCATCAATTTTGTAGTGTTCTTGTGAAAATTTGGCATTAATAATTAATGGTCACCATTGTCCTACATTCAGTTAATCTTTTAGAATTATTTTGATACAGTTTTAAACATCATTTTTAATAACGTCAGAATAATTATGCAGGGTTTATTAAATAGGAGGACTGGTGCAACAAGTATTAATTCTGAGAGTTCTCGGTCGCATACTGTTTTTACCTGCGTTGTGGAATCTCGATCTAAGGTAATGCTTCAAGAATGTTGCTAATATCTTTTAATGAAATAATGAATCATATAAGACAAGGTCTGTAACATGAAAAGTAAACTGCTGTCGTGATTAATCACTAGATCGACAGCTGTGGGCACTGTCCGAAAAGCCATCGAACATGTAAATTGGATTATAGATTGCCCAGTTTGTTCTGTTTGGAAATT